CATGTTAGAGTCCAAGGTTTCCCTTGGGTGTCATCTGAAAGAGCTTGTGAAATGTGGATGCTGAAAATCAGCCAGAAAAGATCTTCTGGGGAAATGAGTTATGTGAGGAGCATCTGTCACCTACAGGAGAGGTTAAGATGAAGTTTTCTGGAAAACTGGATAAAGGAATATATATCTTGGTCTGTCAGGAGAATCTGGTAAAGGATTCACTCAAGTCTTCACTGTGTCTTATAAAAATAAACCTGAATTTTCTCATTTGAGGAAAGGCATAAGTAGTATTTCTAGGTAGGCAAAAGTAGGTTGCAGTGATAGAAGCAGCTGAAAACAGAGGCAAAACCAATGTGTGAGGGTAACCCTAAAACTAGTGGGTTTATGGGAGATGGTAGTAAAGAGATTTCATTATGATTGAATATTAATTAGTGACATGGCTACTGAGGATGACAGTAATTAACAGAGGAAGGAAAGACTTGTCATTGTCCCCAGGGTGAGTAATCAGTCTTGGCAGGTGATAAATAATGGTTCAGCAAACTCAGCAGAAAGATAATCTGCCTCAGGACAACTGGAGAACAACTATAACATCTTCCAGGCTCTTGGCAACATTCAGGAATGATTTCATGTTTTTAACAGAGACAAATTAAAATCCCTGATCTCAAGTGCTGTTTATATTCCAGAGTGACTGATCACAGGAGTTCTGTTTGAGCTGGTGTTTACAATTTACTTGCACCTTTAAAGCCTCTCTTTTTAAATCTTAGTAATAGGGGCAAGAAAACTGGGGAGCCACATTTCAGCATTACATGATTTTGTCATTGTAGTTTGATGAAAATTTAATAGATTCCTCAAAAGAGGCCTAGAGCTGGGGACATGATTGTTGGATGTTAAAATGGGATGGGACTTAATCCTGCATTAAGTATTCTTGTATATCTGGAAAGGGATCATGCAGAATGCACTACACCTCCTCGGAGCAAAGCAGTGCACTGCTCTAGATAATTTTAAGATATCAGGTGTCATGGCAATAAGATGCCTAAGAGATCATAGAATCATAGAATAGTAAGGGTTGGAAAGGAACTTAAGATTGTTTACTTCCAACCTCCCTGCCCTGGGCAGGGGTGCCTCACTCTAGACAATGTCACCCAAGGCTCTGTCCAGTCTGTCCTTGAACACTGCCAGGGGTGGAGCATTTAATACTTCTTTGGGCAGCCTTTTCCAAAGGCTGTGGTTTACCCTCACAGTAAAGAACTTCCTCCTTATATCCAATCTAAACTTCCCCTGTTTTAACCCGTTACCCCTTGTCCTGTCACTACAGTCCCTAATGAAGAGTCCCTCCCCAGCATCCCTAAAGGCCCCCTTCAGATACTGGAAGGCTGCTATGATGTCTCCACGCAGCCTTCTCTTCTCCAGGCTGAACAGCCCCAACTTTCTCAGCCTGTCTTCATACGGGAGCTGCTCCAGTCCCCTGATCATCCTCTTGGCCCTTCTCTGGACTTGTTCTAACAGTTCCATGTGCTTTTTATGTTGAGGACACCAGGACTGCACACAATACTTCAACTGAAGTCTCACGAGAGCAGAGTAGAGGGGCAGGATCACCTCCTTTGACCTGCTGGTCATGCTCCTTTTAATGCAGCCCAGCTCATGTTAAGTTTCTCCTCAACTAACACCCCCAAAGTCCTTCTCCACAGGGCTGCTCTGAATCATTTCAGGTCCCAGCACCGATCCCTGAGGGACACCACTCGTTACTGGTCTCCAGCCGGACATTGAGCCATTGACTACAACTCTTTGTGTGCAGCCATCCAGCCAGTTCTTTATCCACCGAGTGGTCCATCCATCAAATTGATGTCTCTCCAAATTAGAGACAAGATTATTGTGGAAGACAGTGTCGAAAGCTTTGCACAAGTCCAGGTAGATGACATCAACTGCTCTACCCCTGTCCATCAGTTCTGTAGCCCCATTATAGAAGGCCACCAAATTGGCCAGGCAGGATTTCCCCTTAGTGAAGCCATGCTGGCTGTCACCAAGCACCTTGTTGTTTTCCATGTGCCTTAGCATGCCTTCCAGGAGAATCTGCTCCAAGATTTTGCCAGGCACAGAGGTGAGACTGACTGGTCTGTAATTCTCAGGGTCATCCATTTTCCCCTTCTTGAAAATGGGGGTTATATTTCCCTTTTTCCAGTCATCGGGAACTTCACCTGACTGCCATTATTTATCAAATATGATGATCAGCGTCTTCGCAACTTCATTTGCCAGCTCCTTCAGGACCTGCAGAAGGATTTCATCAGGTCTCACGGACTTGTGCACGTTCAGGTTCTTAAGATGATCTAGATCATTGCAAGCCTGTAATCTGTGACCACAGTCAGAAGAAAAAGTAAACTTGCAGTTTGGAGGATGAACAGAAAACCCAGTAAAGATTCTGATTTAGCTTGAACCGTTTTGTGAGGTTTGGTTTTGTTTCCAACAACTTCAGTTTGGGTCTTCTTGAAGTAGTTCTCTAACCATAAATGTTTTGTTCTACCTTTGGGATATTTTTGTTTAGTGAAAAGGAAAAGGAAACATTCATGTTTATAACATAGAATATTTTATTAATAAACATGTCAAACAACAGTTACTGGCTCTGAATATCCCCATATGCTTTTCATTTAGCACTGCTTACTAGATGTGTTCTCAAATAACAGGCAGTTTTGGACCGCTCGGACATCTTTTTCTGAATAAATTTACTGTTCACACAAAAAAAAAATATGTGATTTAGGGTGCACCTGGTATCTGGTTTCAGGTGAGGGAGCAAAGTGCTGGGACTATTGCCAGAGGCATTGGTTAGATGTTCTGCAAGGTACTGCCTACAGTTCTGGTGATCCCAGTGCAAAGAAATGGAACTTAAATTTGAAAAGTTGCCAAACGGTCAAGTACAGGGAGAGTCCATCATAAGAGGACATTAAAAGTTTGGTTGGTTTAGTGAAATGGAGGTGGGGGGGCAATGTGTCAGCCCTCTGTAGAAATTCAGGAGAAGCTATCAGGAAGAAGAAGAATTATTTCCCTTAAATGGTAATTCAAGGATGATATCAGATTCATATAAATTGCATATTAATAAACATATACTGGAGGTTACAAGAAGACTTCCATCTATTAAAAAAGCAATAATAAAAGAATAAAGTTTTGGAATAACTGTCTAACTTGGATTATGGCAACTTGAATTGCTCCTAGGTGGATTTGAGTGTTTTGGAGAATGACAATAAAGCTAAAAATACCAGCTTGTGAGACTGGTCCTTCAGTGTCTGGTTCATTGATTCTTTCAAGGCAGATTGAGACAATGCCCAGCTGTTGCCTTTTGGTCACATCTGTCTGCTCAGTATTTAAGTCAAAGCAGATGCTTCCCTGATCTTCAGGAGCTCTGCTGATTACCTGCAGGCAACAAGTAAGTTCTTTCACTTGCCTTGGTTGGGGGATGAGGGAGGCCAGGTTCATATTTCCACTTGTTGCTGAAGCCTGACTGAAGAGTATTTGCTAGTGCTTCTTGTGGAGGTGGAGGTCAGCTTGCATTGCCAGGGGGAGCAGAAGCTGCTATTACCTGTGTGGAGTAGAACACACATTTCTACCGGGAATTTCACCTGTATGGGAGAGTCAGTCAGACCTGCAGATATTGCAGGAACCTGTGACACTAGCAGTGCTCTCATCTGTCTCTGTGGCACATCATAATTGTGATTCCTGGCTTTTGCAGTATTTCAGGTTTGCTGAGGGTGTGGGGTTGCTATGGGTCTGTGGAAAGTAAAATGTCCTTCAGACTTTTCTGGAACAGGCATCATGTGGGTAATGCTGTTTCTTGAAGGACCCTTCATGTCTGAGCCCAGAAGTGCTCTATGCAGATAAGATCCTCTGGGGTTTGTTCAGTAAGCCCAAACCATATGGTTGATTGGTTCCTTTTTGTATGCTATCTTCAAGTGATGTATCACAAAGCACAGCACTAAGTATTACCAAGGCTATTAACCTACTGTATATGAATGCAAATATTTCCCAACAAATTGACTGTATGCTGAGAAGGCATTGGTGTCATGCCTGCAGCCAGACGTGGCATTGTTAGGTTGTACTGCACGTTGCTATTAACTTGGCATGGACTTGCTAAATTAACTCCAAGTGCCTTTGCTGATTGCCTTTGACTTTGGACAGGTCAAGTTAGCAGACTTGTACACACATTTATGTTTCATTTTAAGCTCACCTTTCTGAGTATGGGATTTAACTAAATTTTGCTGTCCTGTCATGTTGTATTTTGTTAATAAAAGGCTTTAGCTTTTATTGAAGAGTGACAAGTTTTCCACTTCTATGATTTCCATGCAAGCAATAGAGAGCTTGTGTACATGCAGAGGATCAAACCTAGAGATCTTCATGCTGCTTATAAGATAGCAACAACCTTTGTACTACTTGATGGGCCCTGAAGACCTAATAAACCTGATGGGCTCTAAGAGGCTTACTTTTCTGCTCCTGGCCACCATCTGTCTAATGTGATCACTGACAGGTGACAGCTCAGCAGTGGCTTTGTTACAGCACACTGAATGCTTGTCTTCAATATAAGTGAGGCTTTCCTTTCTTTTTTGACTGATAACTCACTTCTGTACTTTATATTATTGCCTCTCACATGACAGTTGCAAGGGGCCAGTAAATGCTCCTTTGCCTCCTTGCTAGCTAGTGTTTGCATATATACACCTCCCTGTGTGCTGAGGTGGGAGAGAGCAACTGTGAGAGAACAAGTTACATGGAACCATTAGAGTACTGTCTGACTTCAAGTATACCAAGTCTCGTATCACACTACTTAGGACTTAGTGCCCCTCTCAGTAACTGTATAATTACAGTGTGACACAAGAAGGAAAAACATTCTGAAACCTCAGTGGAGATTAGTTTTAATCTACTTTCCTTTTTATGTCAGCTTTACTCTATCTATCTCAATGTTATTCCTTTCTTGGGGTCTTCAACCCCGTGGTCTCAGTGCTTAATGCTTTCTTCACTAATTTTTTTTTCAGGTGCTGATATTGTGCAGTGGCTTATGAAGAACCTCAGCATTGAGGATCCAGGTAAGGTGACCATAGCTGGGGAGGAACAGATACTCCATCTGTATTGTGTGTGCCATTAGACAGTAGATGTTATTTTGCTGCAGTCTAAAATACCAGTAGATCAAGGTTGATTTAAGAATTGAGGTGAAGGAGGAGTGAAAGAGATAAAAATCAACATGTGAAGTCTAATGCCTTACACTGCAACATGACAAAAGCACCTTGTAGGAGCCTTAGCCTGCCTGTGAAATTATTGCTACCTAGGAAAGACTTATTGTTTTCAAAGCTGTTCCCAGTCTTAGAAAAGAAATTGGTGGATGTGTGTAGTTAAGCAGGCAAATGAGGTCACAGATTTTCATCATGTGGAGAAAGGTAACCATGACTGACAGGACATGCTGGCCAAGGACAACACAGATACCATCACAGAATCAGGTGATGGCTGCTAATTTATCACAGCAGATAGATAAATGGATAATCAGCCACAAACAATGATCAGGGCTTGGGCAAAGTCCAAATAGCTCACTCTTCAGAGAAACAAAAATCGTTATGGCACACATAAGAGCTGTTGGGAATAGAGGAAGAAAAGGTCTGCAGTTCCAGAAGTTTCTTTTTCTTTTCACCTCCCAGTTTGTTTACTTCTGCCTACTGTCACCATGTAAAAGCAGAGATATAGGTAATGTTGCCTCACCCAGGGCATCCATATTCACACATCCCTTCTTGCGAGTCTAGTCAAGTCCCAGACCTGAATTTCAGCTGCGGACAATAGCTGCTTTATCTGCCTGGGGGTGCATGAGCAGCTGATGTGTATTTTGCAACTCTGAGAAAGTTGATGCGGCTTTTGAGAGCTGACTTTGGTTGAAAATCTGTGCAGATGTGCCTCTGTGCTGGTGAGGGTTGCCCTGGCAGTTAGGATATGTACTCCCTTTTGCCTCTGCACATTTCCTGTAATGAATGGCAATGCTACACTCTCCGGACTTGTCTACAAATAAATGCGCTGCTAATGACCTGGTGTTGCAGCTGTTTGCTGGATTTGGTAAAGGCAAGTGGGGTTCATGTCTTCCTGTCAGCTGTCACCTGTGGTGGATAACGGGCTTTGAATTGAACTTCAGACTAGAGCTGATGTGTGACATTTTGTAAACACAAAGCCAGCAAGTTAAACATTTGAACAGTGTTTCATCAGTATTGCAAGGCTGATTCCTGCTCCTTCTGCTTTGCATGGTTTTGTTGGAAGGCATAAAGATGCGGTGTGGGTACAGAGAGGCATGTGTGCATCAGGTCTCTGCACAAGTCATCACCAGAGCCACTGCTGAAAGCAGAGGAGTGTGCAGTGCATGTCTTCCTGACACATCCCTGTTGTTTTTCTCTTTCACAGGGGAAGCAATACACTTGGGAAGTCTTATTGCTGCACAGGGTTATATCTTTCCAATCTCAGACCATGTTCTTACCCTGAAAGATGATGGGACGTTCTATCGTTTTCAGGTTGGTGAGCTCTCTGTGTCCCTTGTGGCCCCTTCTACTGTCCCTGCAATAATACTGCTGAAATCACCTGCTCTTTATCCCTAAACACCCATTAGGTCTCTGAAGCCAGGGCTTGAGGCTATCTTGTTAGAGACCTTAAGAAGTCATAAAGCCCCTTCAAAAGGATCTGCTTTAAAATCCCAAATTACTGCTTTTCTGATGCACAGTTTTCACATAAATAAACAGATATCCTGTGATTATTTTTGATATGTCAAGGCTGTTGTGCTCATATTTGAGCTAAACCAGAAGGAGAATGGCTTTCAGGTTCTAACTTTGGCAAGAATTGAGGAGCCACTGTCCTGTGCAAAATGGCCAAGGGCAAGCTTTGGAGTTGGGTACTCAAGCTCTTACACAGCAGAAGATTCCTGGTTACAGCTTGCTATGGGATAGGGCAAGCTTCAGGCTTTGGCTCTTTTGCAAAGGATATGTAACCTTGGCAGTCACCTAAGCTGGGACATCTCTATCCCTCAGTATCCTTGTGCCTCCAGATGTGTTAAATTTTTAAAGCCTCCTGCCTTTGAGTTCCATGCCCTGTCCAAAATCTGCTCCTGTCAACTTCTGAGATAACTGAGTGTTTGTGGTGCAACAGCTTTTGGACAGATTTTGTAACTTTAAATGAAGCAGTAAGTTCAAACCTAGAGTCTTGCTGCCTAATCCTGCTGGCTGACTTTGTGTTGATCTGCTGTGTGATCCCAGCCAGCTCCCTTATCTTTCCTATGACCTCTCTTCTGTTCACCCTTCTGTTCCTCCTTCACTTTATTTTCCCCCTCTTTTTTTAGTTTTTATTTGAAAAGCCTGTTCTTGCACCTGATGTTGCTGCTGCTCATACTCACTGTCCTACTGTTAATGTGATATTGTGTTATCATATAAGACCAATGGTACAGTGAACAATGCAGCCCAGGAGATCACAGAACTGCTCTTATCTCACCCCACCTTCTGGTTTCCTGGCTTCATTCAAACTAAGATTTTTCATTACAATTTCCTTGCTTTTCTGAAAGTCCTGCTCCCCTGTCATGTAAGACTTGACAGAAGCAAGGGTAATACTGATTGCCCTTTTAGTTGTATTTTTCTCTGTTTGAAGAATGACACCATAAGTCATTGTCCTGTGCATCTCTCAGTACCTAGATTTCAATGTAATTTACTTTCCCTTATTTTAAGCTTGTGTAAACCACATCATCAAGTTGTGGTTATTGCTTACTGACTTTTGTTTCCCTTATCTTTTCCTACAACTTTTGCTTACTCTTTGCCTGCTGTCATTTCCTGCAACAGTTCTCCTCAGCCATTTTCTGGAAAAATAACCTGATAGAAACATCTTTCTTTTCCATTACTCTCTCCTTGCCACTTTCTACCTGAACTTCAGTCCCTCCTTTAACAGTAGCTCATAATCTTGTGAAGTACATAAGATGTGTATTAGCAAGGAATGTTGAACCCAGATTGTTTGATCCCTCAGTGTTCTCGTTGTACTTTTGTACAAGGAACAATCTGTGTGTAATATCCTATGTCCGTTTGTGGCATTACATCAGTAACGTAAAACAGTGTTCTGTAATTTGGACACAGACATTCTTTTTCATTCATGTTAAAACTGAAATACAGCTACAGGTAGTAATATCTTGTAATTAATTGTAGCAACTGCAATATGGAGGCCTGGATAAAAACCAAAATCAGTAAGCTTAGCAGGACTTCTCTTTTCAGAATGATTCTAATCAGCTGATTTTTGACCTCTGGTATCTGTTGTATTTAAAAACTAATTTTTTGGTTAGGCTGCCAACCATACTTTATATGCTTGAATTAAGCATTTCTATTACCTGCAATGAGGTGCTAAAGGTGGTATCATCCTGGAAAAGCATCCTCACTTTTGCGGAGGTCTGTAGCAGTGTTTCCTCCGAGGGCTGAGACTGAGCCATAGACATTGTGATTCTTCTTTCTGCACCTGTATAATTCTTCTTTATGTACTTGCAATGTTTTTCTGCATCTGAGTTGTTTTTCATCTCTTTCATTATAAAAATGCATATGTTCTTTCTTAGGCACCATATTTTTGGCCTTCAAACTGCTGGGAACCTGAAAATACAGATTACGGTGAGAGTAGAATTATTTCATTGTAGAAAGTTAGTACAGAAAGCTTGTGATGGAAAAACTTGTCCTTAATTACTGTTGGCCATCTAAACCCTTCATCAGCAGAGTTACTTGTCAGACTGCAGCATCAGAGGCAGATACGTGCCCATCCCAAGTATGTGAAGTCCTAAAGTGTCTCAAGCCCATGGAACTATAGCTGTTGAGTCCTGTGAGGCCAGGGTTTTAACTACCATTACCTTCGTTCATCCATAGGTCTGTTCATTTTGGCAGAATTTATGGCAAGCAGAATACTACTCCTTGGGAATCTTAAATAATACCAATATTGCTTTTGTGGGAGAACATACTCTGATCTGTAGCTGAATCTGATACATTGATCAATAAAAAGTTACCTCATCTGGGCACTCATCTGGCTGATCAATAAACCAGTATAATCATGGCAACTCATAGTTAAAGTTTTCTGATATATGACTCCAGACTAATTTTTCCCAGAGCTGGTAAAAAAGAGAAGATTGAACATGGTTTATGAGCTAATAAACTGCAACATGATGTGTTAAACATGTGAGTGCCTGCAGACAGTTATAATACATAAAGAAAATATGTCAGTGTTGTTATCTTTAGCTGTCTGCATGCAACATTGCTGTCTCTTCCAGAACTGCCCTTCTTTCACAGATGAAATCCATTGTTGCATCCTGGTGTGGCATTGGGAGAGGAAGTGAATCCACATGTGTGCTCCTAAAAGAGAAGCCCCTGGAAGTCCTTCTTTTAAAGTATCTCATAATCTAAGATCAGTTTAGAACTTCTCCCTGAATAATCAGATTCTTTTCTTTCCTGGGCAATAATTACTCATCATTATAGATTCTGGGAATCATTTGCTGGGGTGGAGAAGTATCCTGCAATGGTATCTGTCATGTAATAGTTCATTTGCAGTCCCTCATCTGCAGGAAAGCTAGCACAGAGGTTTATGTGTTTATCCCAGTGAGGGGAACTGCTTAGGAGAAAACATGATGCTGTTCATTATATGCAAAATAATTTCCAGATTTTACAGACACCATATATAACTGTCTGAACTGTGCCAAATATCTATCTGTAAACATCAGAATAACAATCTGAAGAGGGAAGTTCTGGGTTTCTTTTTTTCTACAGTATCTGTAAGTAACTGGTTTTGCAGTCAGATTGTTGTGCTGCAAGGGCATTGAGTGGACCTGTGCACCTTAAAATAAAGTCCTGTGTGAGCTGGACAAGCTGCAGCTGCATTAGCCCTGAGCCCTGCAGTGACAGATTTTCATCTGTCCCAGAAATCTCTAACATATGTTTATAATCAGTCTTCGCATATCAGAGGTCTGTACAGATGGAGTCCTCCCAGGAATTAATCCCAAACTAGCAGTAGACCCAAATAAAACTGAAATCCCAGCAGCACTTCATATTTTTTTTATTTGCGTAGATCCACTCAGAGGACAGGAACTAAGTTGTTAATGGCAGGTCACTGCTTAGCATGAAGAAATACTGTGAGATGACTGACTAACTTTATTTGGTGTTGCAATGGCTTACAGAGGAACCTGCCCTTGAGATGTATAAATATACAGGAACTGACCACCTCTAGTTACTATGCATAATATTGGCTTATTATATTAATGTTAGAATTATAGGAATAGAATTACACGAGTAGAACTGGTTGGTCTGGGTTTTTTGTTTGGGGTTTTTTTTTCATATATTTTCCATAGAAGATTAGTTCTCCAATGAAAAACATTTATCAGGATGTCAGAAAATTGTATTTACCAGCAAACCAACCCACCAAGATTTTCAAAGAAAAGACAAAATTTTCTGGAAGAGATTTATTGTAGTTTTCTGTAGGTGATGCTTTGCCTTCCACTCAGCTCCAGTTTGGTATGCTGTTGGATAATAAGTACCTGGCCCTGGAGCTTGAGAAGAGGGCAGAACAGAAGGAAGCTATAAAATTCACATCTAGATTCATCCCAAATGAGAGCACTGGACCTCTATTATGTAGTTCAGACCTGACTGTATACCCAGGCTGTGCTGGGGACCATGTGTTTCAGCCTGCAATGGAAATGGGATGAGGAGCAGGTCCAGCTGAGGCTTTACCAGAAGGCAGCCTGGGACTGGTTTGGTGTTGTGCACTGAGCTCATCTTGACCCTCAAAATCCCAAACCACATCAGTTTCTGCAGTGTCTGCCTATGATGAAATGTGAGAAGGCTTTTCTTAACCATTTGAAATGTGTAGAATGAAGCATATGAATGTGTACGATTAAGCATATGAAAAAATGCTCATACCTTTAAAATGTGGCCCATGTTTCTATTTTCATTTCAATATTCTGAATTCTTTTGGTGGTTTTGTTTGTGGGGTTTTTTTTTGTTTGGTTTTTGCTCTGTTTTTTGGGGGTGTGTAGTTGGCTTGGTTGTTTGGTTTTGTTGGGGTTTTTTATTAACAAAAGGTGAAAATTGCAGAGCAGCTTCACTTTGGCAGGGATATTCCCAAGGTACTGAGGGGAACAGGTTGCTAAAGGTAAATCTTTTACCAGCCCCAGAAGCAATTGTGCCTTTTTCAAATATCTTGCTAGGTTCTGGCATCTACCCTCAGCACTTTTAAATTAGATGCCCCAGATGTTTAAGGCTTCTGAGATTACTAGTGGGTAATGTCAGCTGGGTATTCAACCCTCTCATTCCTTGACTCATGTTGCTTTCTGATAAGAACGAATAGTGCACTTTTTTTCCTTTTTTTTTTTTTTTTAAGATCTAATGCTAGTAATCTGTCTGTAATTATTTTCTGTTTCTCTCTTTAGCAATCTATCTTTGCAAACGGACCATGCAGAACAAAGCTAGGCTGGAGCTGGCAGATTATGAAGCCGTAGGTACACTGCTGCTAGAGCTTAAAGCTGGGGGGTGCAGGGAAAGCTTTGCTTGCTAATTGAATGCTGCTGTTTTGTACTTTGGGATCAGCAGCTACTGTGTCTCTTGTCAGAATTGTGTGAAGTTTGATCTGGACACAACATCAGGAACATTATTAGGGAATATCCCTGGCTTTGCAGTGTCTCAAAGTATCTCTGGCCATCTTCTCTATGGCCAGACCTTCAAGACTGGGGCAAATTACACAGAAGTTTACCTTGATTTCCTGTTAACCATTCCCAATTAATATATGGTACATATTAACGCACAGAAATTACAGATTTTCAGGTGCATTGTTAGTCAGTTAAATTGCTGATGACCATATGATTCTAGTTATGAAAGTTTTCAGATATCAGACTTGGACTGTTTTCAATATGCCTTATAGGAAAAACTATTACTCAAGCTTACTCAGGTCAAGTTTTCTGTTATGAAATGATTATCCATAAAAGTATCACCAACCTTGGCTTCAGATTGTGCAGGGTTTGAGTAGAGAGGAGTGGGAAGACAAGAGGCAGGAAGGACAGGGCTGGTATGAGTTTCTTTGAATACGAGCAATGTAACACTCTAACCAGCTGAACTTTTCTTTCTATCGTATTGACTTTGTTGTTGTTTACTAGCTTAATAATGTAACACCTGAATTTCAAGTGTGAAATTTTTCACTGGAGGGTTTGTTTACAAAATTTGTTCTACTGGATTTCTATGTCTGTTTATTTCAATGAAAACATTTATATTGCATATATTTTAGGGTTTTTTTTCCCAAGAATGGACTTTTCCCTTCTTCCTTACCTTCTGTGTTTTGGGACTTTTCTGCACATAGATATGTCTACATGACATTTGGTCTTCCAGTGAAGAGCATGCAAAAATTGTCACTTATCTAGTCCACCCTGAAAATGCATCCAGCGTTCCCAAGAGTTCTAATCTTGAAGTACAGGCATAAAGGAAGGAATATAATAATCTGCATGCACTTACACATCCTTTTGCTGAGTTTTCTCTTCTGCATATTGCTGATTTCATTATTAAAACCATTAAAATTTCTCACAGCCAACCAATTAACTGTAAGCACTCTAGAGGTCTATCATAAAGCAACAAAAGGCTGTTCAGCAGTGTGCCCACTCCCACACACATGCAGTGAGGCTTTGGCTAAGTACTTTTGCACGTTTGTCTACAGAGTGTAGCAATGCTTCAGTAATGATAAATAATTAGACCTTGGCAGTGTCTCATTTTTCTTGTGAATATTGCATTGCACAATTAGAGATTACTTCTGCATTCAAACTTTGTTCTCTTAATTAGAGACAATCAGATAAGAATGGCTCTAACTCTACTTAGTCATTATGGGAGCTTGAAGTCGATCCAGCAACAGAGTTGTAAGCACAAGTGAGAGAAACAGGCTTACAGGAGTGGGAAGAAGCTCTGTCCATGTAGAACACATGTTTGGAAATGTAGCGTGAGTGATTCTCTGAAGGCATCAGCACTGACCTGGAGTTTCCAGAAAGAATCTCTACAAAGCATTTCAGGGGACATCTCATGTTTAGGTTCTGCTTGTAGCATTCTGAGATAACTCCCCACCCCCAATTTATACCATTAGGGCAGAGGCGTCAATGATATGATTAAGCTTACATAATTTCATTCAGTTTTGTTGATAATCGACCAAACATAAGCATAATTCAAGTATTGCTTCAATTGATGATGTTTCATTGGTTTCAGCATATTTACACCAGAAGGCACATGTGAACATAATTTAAAGCAAAATCTTAAAAAAAAGAAACCCACAAAAATTGTTTTTGCAGATAATTACAAGTAGTTCTTCCTTGTAGTCACAGTTAAGGAAATCACCACAGTTCAGCACAGCTGTAAATCATTTGCTTAACTGTTTTCTTCTGTGTATACGGACTTGAATTTTTACATGGACTTGATGGTAACAAGGCCAAGCTTTATGCCTTGTGTTATACAAGAGTTTAAAGTAAATAATAGGAAAATCTCTTCTAGCATTGAAGTGCATGCACTTAAGTACTTCCTTGAAATGAAGGGAATAGGTATAAAAAAACAGCAGTAGAACTAATAGTGTTCATTTTCAAAATGAAAATTTGCAACAGTTGAACCAGCTGTAATGGAGAAGGGGGTCAGGTTAATGGTCCCATAGACCTCCTTCTCAGGGTGGGTATGAATATGTGACTTTAGGGTGCCATTTTAGCCTGAAATTCTGGCCATGTCCTGAGTTTGACCTTGAGCTGTGATGAAGTCACATCCACATCCAAATGTACAGATCATGACACTCTCTGTAATGGGTCTGGACCAGATCTCTTAGTTCAGATGTAGAGCAAGGCTGCATTTGGACCCAGTCTTTGCAGTCAGCTATATTCATTGTTCAGACAAACAAGCTGTTTCCTTTTGTGAATCATCCTGGCAGTCCCCAGCTTTCAGTGCTGTGCAGCTGCGTAATGCTCTCAGCGGTGACCAGGGCTGAGCAAATCAAGGGATGCTCAGGCTTTGCACCTCAGCAAAAGCCTGAAGAGAAGAGAGCAGCTGGGGGGGGAAGGGAAAGTGGGGATGAGAGGGAAATGTGCAGGTGGCAGCCATCTGCTATCAGAAATGAAAGTCGTCAGCTTCACAAAGCTTCTCGGTGTTATCTTTTGGGAACAAGTCCATCATTATTTTCATTGTAGAGCTCAAGCTGTCTTCATCACACTACATTACTTACCCTTGACAGGGCTCTTTTGGCTGCAGCTATAGGACTGCAGCCCAAAAGGATGCATTACAGCCTTGCTTTGCCTGCAAGATAGTTCACCCAAAATTAACACTGACTTCTGTGTCTTGAGTTTTCCAGCTTAAAAAAAAAAGAAAAAAGGAATAAAATAACCACCCACTCTGCTAAATGTAATCTTAAGCACTTGTAATTGCAAGGATTAGTTGTTCTTACTATTTTCGTCTTTTGTCAGGAAAACTTAGCAAGACTTCAGAGAGCATTTGCAAGAAAGTGGGAGTTCATCTTCATGCAAGCTGAGGCCCAAGTGAAGTGAGTAATCCTAAAGTACTGAACTGCACTAGTATTTACAGCTGCGAAGGGAAGGGGATTCCGTAAAGATGGAATTTCTTTGTCAAAAACTTTACTGTGATAAAGCTCTGAAGGTGTTGGTGAGTTTTAATTGCTGGCAGCCTAGAAACGATAGAGAGCAGATTCTGAAATTTTGTGCCAGAATCTGAAAGATGGGTTTAATCATCTGTACGTGGAAATGTTGGTGAGGATCTCCTGAGCCTGTGCTCACCATGGGAGCTTGGGCTATTCACTTGCCCATTCAGCTTCTACTTTTGTGAAGTATTTTTGTATTGCATTCTTTACAAATGGAAAGAACGGCACTTTGTCCTCTGTCTGTGTTACTGTATGCTAGTAAAGTGTGTAAGTCTAAAACTATTGCCACTTTAAAGTGATTGTAAAGGTGGTATTTACAGCAGACTGGATTTGGTTTTCTCATTTATACCAATCTCCAGTTGATTTTATTCTATCTCCCCTCTCTGCAGTCTGACTTGTATTCTTAATTAGAGTGGAGAATTGGGTACCACTTACTTGAAACTTTCTCAGATTTAGTACTGGGATTTTTCCTATCCTCTGCTCATAATTTAAATCTGCCTTCCCCCCCCCCATTTTCCCTTGTGAAAATAGTTTGAAGCCTCTTAATGTTTTGAGCATGTTTTCATTATTGCTGCAAAATGGGTATGGTCCAGACTTTGTAGTCTAGTGTCTACAAGCTAGTGCCTATAACTGTACATGTCCATTTTGTACATGTAGTTGTCATAGAATCATAGAATAGTTAGGGTTGGAAAGGACCTGAAGATCATCTGGTTCCAATCCCACTGCTGTGGGCAGGGACACCTTACACTAAATCATATCACCCAAGGCCTTGTTCAACCTGGTCTTGAACACTGCCAGGGATGGAGCATTCACAACCTGTCTGGGCAAGCCATACCAGTGCCTCACCACGCTCATAGTAAATAACTTCCTTCTTATATCCAATCTAAACTTCCCCTGTTTAAGTTTTAACCCGTTACCCCTTGTCCTGTCACTACAGTCTCTAATGAAGAGTCCCTCTCCAGCATCCCTATGGGCCCCCTTCAGATACCGGAAGGCTGCTATGAGGTCTCCACGCAGCCTTCTCTTCTCCAGGCTGAACAGCCCCAACTTCCTCAGCCTGTCTTCATGCGGGAGCTGCTCCAGTCCCCTGATCATCCTTGTGGCCCTTCTCTGGACTTGTTCCAACAGTTCCATGTCCTTTTTATGTTGAGGACACCAGAACTGCACACAATACTCCAAGTGAGATCTCACAAGAGCAGAGTAGAGGGGCAGGATCACCTCCTTTGACCTGCTGGTCACGCTCCTTTTGATGCAGCCCAGGATACGGCTGGCTTTCTGAGCTGCAAGCGCACACTGAAGCCGCCCCATGTTAAGTTTCTCATCGACCAGCACCCCCAAGTCCTTCTCCGCAGGGCTGCTCTGAATCTCTTCTCTGCCCAACCTGTAGCTGTGCCTGGGATTGCTCCAACCCAGGTGTAGGACCTTGCACTTGGCATGGTTAAACTTCATGAGGTTGGCATCTGCCCACCTCACAAGCGTGTTGAGGTCCCTCTGGATGGCATTCCTTCCCTCCAGGGTATCAACCGAACCACACAGCTTGGTGTCATCGGCAAACTTGCTGAGGGCGCACTCAATCCCACTGTCCATGTCAGCGACAAAGATGTTAAACAAGATCGGTCCCAACACTGATCCCTAAGGGACACCACTTGTTACTGGTCTCCAGCTGGACATTGAGCCATTGACCACAACTCTTTGTGTGCAGCCATCCAGCCAGTTCTTTATCCACCGAGTGGTCCATCCATCAAATTGATGTCTCTCCAATTTAGAGACAAGGATGTCGTGTGGGACAGTGTCGAACGCTTTGCACAAGTCCAGGTAGATGACATCAACTGCTCTACCCCTGCCTATCAGTTCTGTAGCCCCATCATAAAAGGCCACCAAATTGGTCAGGCAGGATTTCCCCTTAGTGAAGCCATGCTGGCTGTCACCAAGCACCTTGTTGTTTTTCATGTGCCTTAGCATGCCTTCCAGGAGAATCTGCTCCGAGATTTTGCCAGGCACAGAGGTGAGACTGACTGGTCTGTAATTCCCTGGGTCATCCATTTTCCCCTTCTTGAAAATGGGGGTTATATTTCCCTTTTTCCAGTCATCGGGAACTTCACCTGACTGCCATGCTTTCTCAAATATGATGACCAGCATCTTCGCAACTTCATTCGCCAGCTCCTTCAGGACCCACGGATGGATCTCATCAGGACCCATGGACTTGTGCACATTCAGATTTTTAAGATGGTCTCGAACCAGTTCCCCTCCTACAGTGAGCGCAAGGTCTTCGTTCTCATCTATGAAATGGAAAAGCTGGTAAAGATGGCACATGAGAACACCAGTACTGATGCTGTACCACAAGAAAGAATTTGCACTTTCAGTATTAGATGCTAAAAAGTTAAGTAACATCATTTCTTGAGGGTGTGGCTGAGGCATGTCTCTATCTTTGATTATCCCTTTGGATTTTGATTAATTCTTTGCTTAATAACATTGTAATTATGCACTATTTAAGTACATTGGTAATTATCCTTTAAAACACAAGGCTATTAAGGGATTTTTTTCTGACCACAACACCAGTGTTCTGTTTGGAAAAGAAGATTAGAAGTTACAATAGCAATTGTACTTTCAGTTACTTAAAAGTTTATTGCCAAGTTAAAAAAAAATAAAATTAAGTTAAAACAAGATTCTGTACTCTATTTACAGCATACAATTAGTACCTAAGAAAGAAATGTAAATATCAGATTCTTTGTGATAACTGTTGCTTATTCATCTTCATTCTGTTTTCTTTGAAACATAAGCATGGACTGGCCACTGTCAACTTTTTTAGCTGGCTAGTTTCAGCTTCTTGATTGGCAGTTCCTGTGATGGCTCAGTGTTCAGGTTTCCAAGAAGGCAAGGCTGGAATACACAGTGCAATTCACAGCCCTGAGTTAACTAAAATGGAAAACAACCCAAAACACCTGAAAATGTCCCTCCTCCTTATCAAGTTCTGCTCTGCCTTGCATGTCTTCACTTGCACACAGGATTACCATTGCTATACCTACACTGCTCAAAAAACATAGCCATAGACCATCTAATATGTTGCATCTTCCTAGTTTAAAATGTGAAATACTGAGTTAGTTTAGGGATATAAGCTGAGAACCTGGTTTGAGCACAAAGCACCTGTGAAGACAACTCATGAAGCCCTCAGAAAGTCCCTCCAATTTCTATGTGCTGTGTGGTGTGAGATTGGCAGAGGACTCCACCTTCCATTTTGGCCTTTGTTCACTAAAAGTAGTTTTGGACTGAGTGTCTGCACTAGCTCATCAGTGCAGTACAGTGACTGCTATATGGTGGCTGCTCTGTCTATGTGTGGGGTGGTGCAGAGCTGATTTCTTGTCTCAGCCTTGCAGGGGAATATTCAGAGTGATACCAAACTGTGGAGGACTTGGACTTTCAGTGGGAAGGGGTGTTCAGGAGCTCCAGCTTCAGTCTTCTGTTTCTTATCTTTTGGTACATTTCTAATTGAGGCTTAACTGAGGATCACTGTCCCTTCAAAAGGAAGTCATAAGGGAGAGAACCTGATGGTCAGAAGTCCCACCTGGTGTGGGTTTTTTTCCCCTCACTGGTTTGATTTTCTGGGTGGCAGCAATGTGGGAACCCAGCAGAGGGACAGTGTCAGCTCTTCAGTTCTGCTCTTGAGGTGGAGGCTGTTCCTCCTTCCCTGTGCCTCATCCAGCCTCTGCAGGTGGATCTTGCAATCCAGTGGTGACTTTGCTGTGCCCACATGTAGAGCTGGGCATGGGAGTGAGGCACCAGACATGAATTGCTCAGTGCTGCCAAGAGATAGGGTAACAGTTGCTTTGAACAGCCTCTGGTGTCCTTTGATGTGTGTGTTTTGAGTGAGTCAGTTCTCTGGCAGCATCAGGGCTGAAATTACGGAGTTACTGTTGTGCCAGCCCGATCTTGTGTCTCTTGGGTGAGTGCTGGTTGTCACCCTTTGCTCTCCCAACACCAGCACATACAAGCAGAGCCAGTGTAAGGGTTGGAAGCTCTGAGAGGGGTAGTCATGAGTGCTGCCCATGTTGCTGCTGGGAATGCCTGGGAGAGCTGCCACTTTGCAGTCTGGTCATGCCAGTGGTGCTACTTGGGCACCAGGGTGCAATGGGGCTTCCTGATGTGGAGCAGCACCAGCCAAGAACTTCACCTGGTGTAAAGAGGGTCACTTTTGAACTTTCTGTTCATGAACTTTCTGCCCATCAAGTCAGGGTCTGGGACCAGAGTATCAGGAAAGGTTTTTTTTCCTCAGCAGGTAAAAAAAGCACATGTTAAAATAAATTTTCCACGTTAAAAGGAAAATCTCTTTTGACACATACTGGAGTAAACACCAGTGATATTTTGTTCATGGTGCATGGCCTTGTCAGTGGGAGTGTGACAATGTTGTACAAAAAAAGTGGATTTCTGTATTTTTTTGTCATGAGGTTAAAAACCCCAGCTAGGAACTGTAACAGAGAAGAAAGTGTTTCTTGTACATCGACTCATTTGTTTCTGTTTTTCTTTTCAGAATTGACAGAAAAAAGGATAAAACAGAAAGAAAGATTTTGGACAGCCAAGAAAGAGCGTTCTGGGATGTGCACAGGCCTGTGGTAAAGCTTTTTTTGAATGATGAGTCTTTCCAGGTTTTGACAGAAAAGTTTTAATACTAGTAAACTGCACTATGCACAAAGATATTGCCTTCAAAGTCACCACATGGGTTTTTCTTACAGTTTGAAACGCACCAAGTATCTACAAAATAATTTTAGACATTCTAGCCTTGTGCATGCCTGTAACTATTGATTTGGAAATATACGATAAATGTGAAGTTTTGAAGATTAATGTGCATATGAAAGAAAAGCAGCTTACCAGGTTTGTCTCAGACTTCCTAGAAATAGCTCCTCTCTTAGCTGAGATACTTCCTTTTGGTGCCAAAGTTATGAGTAAACGGATTGGATATTGAGATGCCAATATTAGGTGTATGCAGTCTTTTGTTTAGCAAGGATAATTTATGGGACACAAACTTCAGGAAAGAATTTTGGACAAGATCTAATTGTATATTTTAGAAAGATAATGTAGCACGAATATTGTAAATGGAGTAGTAACACAATTACCATCTCTTTTCAGCCAGGCTGTGTGAACACCACGGAAATGGACATTAGAAAGTGTCGTCGTATGAAAAATCCACAGAAGGTGAAAAAGGTCAGATTGGGTTTCTGGAATATGAACAGAAAAAAAGTGCCTTGCACATATCAGTTCCATTTTATTCTAACTGGTGAATTTACTATCCCATTTTACCAGCAGAGCAGTGTAGACTGGGTGATAAGTAGAACTGAGAAGGGCATTAAGGACCTGTGTCCCAGATGTCTGCTGGCTCTGCATGCACATAAAATTAAATCAATTGGCAAAAGTACCAAGATCCCATATTAAGAAATTATTTGGGCACAGATTTTTTCAGAGCTGTTTACCAGCGTTACTCATTTCAAAGGCTGGATCATTAGCAACCTGGTATCTTGGACTTCCAGCAAGTTCTAGCTGTTCTGTGTATATAGAATCACAGAATCATTTAGGTTGGAAAAGACCCTTAGGATTACCAAGTCCAACCATTAACTGAGCACTGCCAAGTCCACCCCTTAACCATGTCCTTAAGTGCCACGTCTACACATCTTTTTAAATACCTCCAGGGATGGCGACTCAGCCGCTTCCCAGGACAGCCTATTCCAATCCTTGACAACCATTTGGGGTTTTTGGGGAAGAGAGTTTTCCTAATATCCAATCTAAAACTCCCCTGGCACAACTGGAGGCCATTTCCTCTTGTCCTGTCACTTGTTACCTGTTTTGGAGAGAACACCAAACTCATGAACTTCCATTGGTAGTTCAATTGCAGCAGAGATATGTCTTTTACATGTGAATTTGAAATAAAAAGCAAAAGCACTAAATGAAAGGGGAGCTGATATTACTTTCAGTGCAGGCCTATGTCCTGAAAGTGAATGTCAACAAGTCAATCTGCAGTTTTTTGTTTAGAGAGGTTCACATGAACTTGAACCATTGACAGGCACCTGGTTAATCACTTTCTTCAATGTGTATTTTTACAACAAGAAATTGGACTAAGTGAAAGAACATGGCATGGGATTGGGTTCTAGTCTTTTCCTCCTCTACTTAGTTGACCACAGTGACCACTCCCAGTGTTCATCCTACAAGTGTTGACAGAGATCCTAAAAATTATCAGCTGCATTTTAACATTTAAAATAAACTCTTTTCTTAACATGCCTGTGGACCTTCCAAGTGCAGGTATCTGCAGGAACAGTCTGATTTGTAAATTTTGCTCCAGGCTGACTGATTATTGACCTGCGTGGGTATAAACACAGGTCAATAATCAGGTAGGAAATTGCTGATTTGTTACCTCACTGTTTTGCATACTGCACTTTTCATCATTGCATAAGAGAGAAAAATACCGTAATTGCTGTTCTGTTTGTTTATTGGTTCCTCACAGTCAGTATATGGGGTTACAGAGGAGTCTCAGCCCCAAAGCCCTGTACATGTGCCCTCCCAACCTGTACGCAAAACTACAAAAGAGGATTTCCGGAAACAAGTAAGTAGATGGCTGTATGGCTGCTCTTCTGAGAACTGTTATATGAAGGGGGAAAAAAGCACGTAAAGCTACTGAGGTATCAGCAAAACCAATTTTATCCTTTAACTGTCCTTGATCCTCACACACTTCGGGTAAAGCAGTAAGTATTTAAAGACTAAAGTAATTCTATGATAATATGGCTTATGGGTAATACTGACTTTTGAATTGACTACTATTCTGTCTGTGGACCAGTACACAGATTAATTTCAGGTTCACTGAGGATATCTAAAAAGTGGGCACTGACATAGGCTAGGGAAGAAGCCAGCATTCTGGGGCACAGGCTGAAGTAGTCAATTCAGTGCATTATTGTTAGACTGTACGTCAGAGCTTTTAGGGAACTAGGAAGAAGTTATTTGCACAATCATTCCAAGGAGCAGCCAGCCGACTCACATGTCCTCGCCCTGGCACAGGGAGCTCTGCCTCAAAATTCCTCTCCTGCAACAAGCAGCACTCACTGAAGCACAGGCAGGAATCGCTAGGTCAGCATTTTAGCAAAGGCAGCTTTGAGCATGTTTCTTAGCCAGTTTTAGGGGGGTTCTTCTGAATTAAAACTGAACACAAAATTTCTTGAGCTTTTTCCATCATAGGCAACATAGGCTGCATAGTACTGTGAAGAAGTGTCTCATAGCAGAGTGCAAATGTGATATAAAACTGTTATTGGTCTTGTGATGCCAGTCAGAGAAATGAAGAGAGTAGTGTGGTGTAAAAAGGGGATCATATTGCATCTTGAGTAGTCTACGGATGTTGGTCCCAAATATGGGCCTCTCCTGCTTTTAATAATGCCGTAGAATCACTGAATAGTTAGGGTAGGAAAGGACCTCAAGATCATCTAGTTCCAACTTTCCTGCCATGGGCAGGGACTCCTCACACTAGACCATGTCACCCAAGGCTCTGTTCAGCCCGGCCTTGAACACCGCCAGGGATGGAGCATTGACAACTTCCTTGGGCAACCCATTCCAGTGTCTCACCACACTCATAGTAAATAACTTCCTTCTTATAGCCAATCTAAACATTCCTGATCAGACTCAATTCTAACTGGGCCTTAGGTTTTCTGAGCTAAAGAAAGCTTTCATCTGACGCTTTCCCTGGGGCCCTGCCATAGGAAATGCAGACTCCTATTGGAAGCAGTTAATAAGCTTCCTCTAATACCAAGGGAAGGGTCCCATTTCCTTCCGAGTTGCTTCTAAGCTGTTTGGAAACAAAAATCAATAGTTTGTTGGGATATGATCAATGTATGTTCTAGAGCTCTTCGATTGTTAATGTCCTTGTCATCTCTCTCCTCAGATAACTTTTCTGAACATGCAGATAGAGAGACATTGTTTAAAGATGTCCAAAGTAGCAGAAAGGTGAGTGTCTTGTTTGCATGATTTCCCATTGATTTCTCATGCCCAGTTTGGCATTTCCAGCAATAGAGAGTGGACAGTCATACTGTAAAGGCAAAAGAAATATTATTCACAAAAGGAAGAACAGTTGTAGTACTTTCGTTTCCCACTCCTTCACAACCCTAGAGTTTATTTACAGAAAAGTCATTCCTGTTTCAATTTGAAAATTCCCTTTTTTCTTGGTGGATGAAGCCTCAAAGCTCAGCTTGTTAGCCTCGCACAGATCTGGGGAAGGAGCTGCATTTGCACCTTCTTGCAAGTGGTGTTCATGTCCATGTTCATACGGGAGTTGTAGGGCCAGTTTCTGCTTCCGTTTACATATATGAAACCCTATGGGAGGTACTGGAGTTGTACCTGGACTACTCACAGCAGAGTTTTAAGAGGTTGATTTCTCATAGAGGCAAATTAAGGCACAATTTGACTTGCAGAATATTTAATTCTGGTCAGAAAATGTGAACAGGTAAAGAACAAGCTCAAATTTGATTGAGAGTAACAGCTCCTCAGGTACTTTCAAGTTATGCGCATTTGCAGAGGGATCACTGAGACAAGCACAGGGATTGACATGCTCTTCAGTAACATCACTTTTAGAACAAAACCATGGTGGACATGAAGGATATGATAAGGGCTCGTGCCTTCTAGAGAAATAATAGAGTATTATTTATTTAAGCAAGTTAAAAAGAGATTACCCTCTGAAATGTGCATTGCAGTGCTCACATCCGTAATTAGCAGGTGTATACTAAAATAGGCAAATTAAATGGCAAGAGCCACAAAGTAGATTCCTATTGGCTCATAAAGTTTAATAATTAAAACAAAAATTCATCCAATTAAATAGAAAATATTCAGAGGCTCCTTGAAATTCTGCATTCACGATACTGTATCATTGAAATTAGCATGTTCATATTTATGTTCCGGGCTTTCTGGTTCTTTTTCATTAGGAAGATAATTTGTGCTTCACCAAAAAAAAGTAATTTTGTACTGAGTTTACCTACAATGACCTTAATATACTGAGACAGTAATAATTTCCAGGCTGGTAATTTACTAGCAAGCAGATTTGGTTTGCTTGACTTTTTTCTATGTAGGTATTTATTCAATAAGAGGGACTCAATAAAATTCATTCATTCCTGTTCATCGAAGTCCGTTCACATGACACACCTGTTGTTCAACTTCATAGAAGCTACTGACCTTGTAAATGTAATGCCAATGTTGAAAGAAAAAAAGATATTAGTTTTCAATAAAATTGGACAGAAAGTTTTCCTGATTTTAAAGGGCTTTGTTGTTTTTTTTTATTGGTCCCAAATTGGAGAAGAAAATGTTGCTATCAAAACCTGTCACATTGATAGCCAGGAGAAAACCAAATAAAATGAGAATAATCAAGAAGTTCTTTTCTTCTGTTTTGAAAGTTTTATTTGAAATTATAAAGAATGAAAATCATGGCCATGATATTTATATCTTGTGAAGAAGTGTTTTGTTATGTGATGACATTTGGGTGGCAGTGCTGCTGGACAGTCCCAGGTCTTGATGCAAAGAGTGGTGGGAGGCACAGCCTGGATGTGGAGCATCACAGAGCAGGCAGGAGAGAAACAGATGGACTGATGGGTCCAGTGGCTTGGCAGGGGTTGGGGTAGGTGAGAAGGAATGAATATGGATGACCTGAGTTGAACAGTTGCCTGAAATAAAAACCTGTGCAGCCTGAAAGTCCAATGTAAAATGCTGAATAAAACTGCCAGGAACAAATCTGCTGCGTGAGGAGGTGCTGTTACTAGCAAGTCACTTTTCAGGCTGGACCCTGCTTTCAGGACTAGCTTAAGCAACAGTGTGGCAGATCAGGGGAGCAGGAGATGATTTCTTGGCATAGTCCTTTCAACAGCCAAGCCTGACAGTGGCGTCACCTGCCATTTCTTTCAATACAGCACAAAGGCATTTTCAGGCAGGATGAGGAAAGTAACGAGGAGAAAATAAGGCAGGGGGTGGTGGGGAAACAAGCTGCTGTCCAATATGTTCTAGGAATAAGGTGTAAAGTATTGTAATAGTGATAGATCAATCACATACATTTTCTATTAATGTAAGCTATTCTATGGGAGAGCCTTTGTTCAGTAGAAGGGGAATGGAAAGGCTGTCAATAGGTTATCCCAGCTCCCATGAAGTATCCATGACCAGTCCTAAACGTTTACTTCCCCCTCCTTCCTGTTTTCCTTCCAAGAGTAGATCTGTACCAACTGTGGGAGCAGTCATCCCTCAGCCGTGCTAGGCACCTTGGAAACTGTTTTCTTCTCCTTTCTTCTCCTTTCTTCCACATCCTTTCTCACTTGGCACCTGCACACTCTCAGGTTTAGGATTTAGCAATAAGGCTTGAGAACTGTTGAGCAGAACAATCAATACATTCTACCTACTCTTTTCCCTGACTGCATTGTGCAGCATTAATACAATTCCGCTACATGTGGCATCACACTAATGGGTGCGAAAATTGGGGCATTGCAGCATTTTCCTACCAGAAGCAATCTCAGCTCCCTAGATGAAAATCTGTGCTATCCTTTCAGATCTTCAAAGTTACTGTAAAGGCTGAACAGGGCCCCCTCATTGTGAGACAGCTGGCTTCTTCAAGCAAGCTCTGCCCCTTTAGTGAACTCTTCCCACCACCTCTTCTAACAGAATTACAGTGCATCACCTTAAAACCCAAAAGCCCAGGTTTGCATTTTGTCAGAAATGCTTTTCCCCATAGGAGTCCCCCTCCTGTAGTCTCCATTAGACAATGAGACAATGATTCTGCTGCTGTCATTATACTGAATCAGCAAAGTGTGCTTAGCAATTCCCCCTTGTTTCATGTAATTTAGTTTTTCCCCTTTTATTTTTGCTAGTGCTTGTACTAGCACCTCTGATGCCTTCTTACTATTTTATTAGGAGTAATTCAGGTTTCACAGCAGATACCTCCTGATTGATCCTTTTTGTTGGTTTTTTTTTTTTTTAAGCAACCCTCTCTCTCACTGATGTCTCAGGGATTGCTGCTGCTCTCTGAAATTGGACGCTGCTCCATCCTCCAACCCTTGACCCACAGCGGTCATGAAATGTAATTAATGAAATGAGATGAGACAGCCCTCAGTGCCCTGAGGGGCAACGGGAACCTGCTGTGGTTAGAAAAGTGTATGATTTTAATGCCTCATGATAAGAGCTAGGACAAACAAAAAAGAAATAATTACTGTAGAGCAGGTCAGGGAAACTTTCTGCCTTTTGTGACCCTTTGTTTTGCAGGGTCTTTTCATTCTCCTGCCTTTTGAGATACTGAAGACCAGAGGTAAAGTTTATCATGGACAGTCACAGTGCAAGTAGATTAGTTGTTCAGTTTGATCAGACTCAATTAACTTAGTTAATTACTTGGCAGGCCTAGGCAAAAAATTAAGAAGTGCCTTAGAGTATTTCCAGTATAGACTAGGATAAATTTCTTTTGATTTATTTTATATATGCTGTCTTTCTTTTGTAAAAAAGTGCCCCTAGCCCCAACCCCAGTGGAATTCCTGAAATCACTTATGCAAGCAGACACAGAAAGCTCTTTGAATCTCATCCTAGTGAGGATTAGACACTATATGTCTTATCTGACTCGTTATGAAACAAGCCAGTAGAAAAGCCAGGTGTTTTTCCAGCATGCAAGTAATTTACTACATTCTAAGTTGATTATTATAAACTGCCATTGAAGTGTTTTACAATAATGCCATTAGACTAAATGGTATACCAAAGTAACAAAAAACATGATCTATAGCTTGAAGCTTTGATGCTCAGGTCTGTGAACCCCAGAAGATATAAGTATATTCTCAGCTACAGCCCATGACCCTATTTAAACATGTTGCTCCTCATGACCCTATTTAAACATGTTGCTCCTAACACATAAAGTTAAGTGGGTACAAAAGTCTGCAAAAAACAAAAAGGCAAGAGGCAATAGCAACACCAGCAAATGAACAGGACATACATTTCATAGTCACCCCTTGGCTCCTGGGGGGAAATCCTACCTTAGCAATCCATTTGTTGCTTCATGGGGCTTTTTGTGGGCACATCAACAGAGGCAAGTTTGAGGAACATCCTGCAGTGAGCTGGTGGGTGTTTGCACAGAAATCCTGGCCTGCATCATCCCTGGGAAATGGGACTCCTGTGGTGGCTGAGAAACTGGCTAATCCCTACAGAAATAAAAGGAAACAAATAAAAAGAAGAGAGGAGAAGCTGTGTCTCTCTGATGTGTGACTGAGTATTCAGGCCCTGATTCTTTTTGATTCTTTTCTTTTTTTTTTTTTTATACCTGCCAGTTTAATAGCCTACACAGAGCAGTATGTGGAATATGACCCCTTTATAACACCTGCTGAGCCTTCCAATCCCTGGATAAGTGATGATGCAGCATTGTGGGACATTGAAATGAGGTAAGAATTGGTCGTTCTAAGTAATTTTACAGTTGTCTTGCCATTTTGTTTGTGTGGTTTCCCCACTGCCCTATTTGGGTAGGAAGTTGTATGTCTGTGACTTGACAAGATATGAGTACATAGTTAAAGTTTAAACAGGAGCTTAAGCTTTATCACTTCTGGGAATTATTCAGCCTTTCCACTACCATATGACCTGATGTGTGAAATGCTGTAAGTCAGGTAACAGACATTCTCATGCCTGTTTAAGACATGCAGACTCGGGTCTTAAGAATCCACAGATAAGACACGGTAAAAAATATCTGTTCCAGCACATTTCCTTTGACCCTTGAGATCCTTCTCTCTGATCCTCCTTCTGCTGCGGTACTTCAGCCCTGCTCCTGTCCTGGGGTCCCATGAAAAATACGAGACGGGTTATAGGGCAGTGGCCATTCCTGCTGTGTGGAGCTGTATCTGACACAGGAGCCAGAGGAGTTTAGCTCACACATAATGTATGAGACCTGGCAGGTCAGAATTATAATAGATTAACAAAGCGAGTTGAGGCCGCACCTGCTAGTGAACAAGCTGGCCTGTCTCTGTTATGGTGTCTAATAGATGAAAAGGAGATTGAAAGGCTGTAGGAACTCCAATGTTTGGCACCTCAGAGAGTTTCTCCAAAAAAGCAAGCACAGCACTGCAATTTAGCTCATCTTTTGCCCATGAGATGTTGGTGCAAGGGAAGTCTGCCCAGTGTCTACATCTCTTGGTATCACAGGCTACCCACAGCCTTGTAGTGGAACTGAAATTGTCCTGCCTGCGCTTTTGCCTAGCAGCTATCACAGCAGGTTTGAATGGAATCACCATGCCATGTATCACCATGACTGCTCACACGCATCCTGTGGCCAACTACTGCAAGTGTTCAGTGGCTTCTCATTTAACTGCTGCTGTTCAGCACCAAATCTGAACTGGGAGCTCTCTTCTTTGAAAAGAAAATGCCAAATTAATCCTGTTTGGTTTTGAATAATATTGTAAACTTGAAGATGCTACCAGCCTAAGAAAGCCAATTCATAGTAAAACAGTGTTATAGGAAAAGGGCAAGTTTTTCCCTGTTTAAAAACCATCTGGTCTGGGATGTGAAAGATTTTCACCTGTTTTTCTGGTAGTCACAGAACTCCATTAGTTTCATAATCTCTGCCCCTCTTCATATCATTCTAGTCTCTTGGATTTCCTGCTTAGTCAGTATCTCTCCTTTTCTCCATCCTCTCCAGCAGGGCTAGAACCAGATACGGTCCCTGCAAAATACACTTCTGTAGGAACCCTGACCCACAAAGTAGTCCAGGCATCCATTATTTCTGCATCTGTTGAGGTAGCTGGAAATCCCAGAAAAGATGTCCATGTCCCTGAAGAATACAATTAGCCTGAGGTCATGGCCTTTATAGGAATTTAAAATAAATGCTTGGCTTCTGCTATGATTTCAGAGTTAAGGAAGGTGACTATTCTGCTGATGGAAAAAGAGAAAGTTGTATTGTTGGAAGATAGAAGAATAAACAGCTCTGTATTTCTATTTTATTCTCTATTGTAAAAGAACTCACTGCATCTGCATACAGTTCCAACTTGATGAATAATTAAATGATCCCTGAGATCCCCTTGTGTTGCCTGGTAAGCTGTTTCCTCAGTTAGGAGAGCAGAGCCTTTGCTCAAGAAAACAAAGAGCCTATCACTTCTAATGATAAGAGAGGCTGCTGAGTATGGGCAGCCCTGTGCCACTGCAGTTCATCCTCCATGGCACTTTGGATTCAGAAAACATCATGGAAATCTTTCCATTTTAGACAGCACATTGGTGAGGGTTTTTTTCATGCTCGAACACTGTGCAGCAGCAAGAAGAGGAGCAACAAATCTTTGGATTCAGCAGGAAATTCATGGCTTTCATGTCCCCATGTCCAGGCTGGCTCATTTAACAGGTAGGCTGGCATCTGCAGTGCTGGCTGCTGGGAAAGTGCAAAAGGAGCCATCCTGAGTGCTCTGCACTTCGAGTGAGGACATGCCCATCAATTTTACTTAGTCTTTACACCAAGAGGAAATCAAAGCAGGCATTTTATTTACCCCTTTGGCTTATTTGGTCTTCAGCACAGATCGCCACTGTCCCCTAAGGCTCTGAGATTAGGAATCACCGTGGACATGACAGGACGTGTAGTTTAATAGATATGTACTGTTAACAATGGCTCCACTGTCACAAATGTGAGCAGCTGAGCTGTATTTTAATGGTTGTCTCGTAGTATGATGCCATCACACCAGAAGCTTTCAAACACTTTGTGAGCCCAGATTATACTCTGATGTGGACTGTCTCATAGGATCCTTGTGATTCCCAGGCATTGCCTCTCCCCATAGGCATCTCTGCAACATGTCTGGCAATTCACACAATGGCTTATGTAAGTGGGAGTGCATTAAGAAATAATTCAGGAGAAATATTTTTAGTGATTTTGGGTGCCTTGCATCTCAGTGTCCCAGCTGAGAAACAAAATAAGACTCTGATTAACATGGAGGGTAAAAGGCTTTTTAGTCTTCCAAGACTTAGGCATCCAAAAATCAGAGGCACTGAAAAATAAAATACCATAAACCAGTAATTTTTAGAAACCTCATCTGCACTGCTTCTTAGTGAAACTGCTTAATGCAAATGTGGAACTGAAAGTCTGAAGCCAATTCCAAGTGACCAGCCAGCACTGTGTGGGACACAAGGAGACCCTCTGGAGCATACCAGCAGTGAGAGGAGCCCTGCTGGCAAATTTCTGCTTTGACATACAAGAAATCCCAAAGTACATTTAGGAGATATGCAAGAAGTGTGTAATCAATACTTATTCAAGTATGGTGTGCTGTTCTTTACATGAAAACTACTAGAAATTACTCTGCATATCATTCACTATTTCGCTCATTTGCCTTATACGTAGCACCCAAATAGTACTGTTGCTTTAATGATGGCCCTGGTCTTTATAGCTTCCTTTGTGTGTTATTTGCTAAGTTGTAGTTCTGCAAAATCCTAAGAACAAATATCCACCATCTCATCTGATGATCTTCCTCCCTTTGCTGCTTAACAGAAACAGCAGCAGCTGTTTGGACAGCAGGCAGAAATGTACATTCCATCTGTTTTTTCCGTTCTCTTTCCAAACAGCAAAGAACCTAGTCAGCAGCGTGTGAAAAGATGGGGTTTCTCCATGGATGAGGTGCTGAAGGACCCAGTAGGACGAGACCAGTTCCTTCGTTTCCTGGAATCAGAATTCAGCTCTGAAAACCTGAGGTAAAATCTTTTTTTTTTTTTGACTTGAACTAAATGAATGGGTCAAATCCTACTCTCTTGCATAGGTGAAATGCAATGCTTTCTCTGTCTTGAACTGCTAAAAATGCCCATTTGAATCAAGTTGAGAATGGCAAGGTTTGGCCCATAGCACTGCTATAGATGCCTATACTAGAACTATGTCAGTAGTCTCAGGAACAGTGTTTAGCATAGCCAGTGCTGTCAAGCAGCATGTGCAAAAGGCTTGCAAAATTGTAATAATGTGGTAAGACACAGCTATTAATAGTGCTATTAAGCCCCCTAATAATATATAGGATTTACATATGCATTTATGTCAGGGGTCGTGTAAGGGAAACATTATGGTGATCATGTGGCTAAAACCTGTTGCAGTACTGGCACTCACCAAATCAGGTTTGAAACAGCTAGTTTTAATTCTGGCACCTCCTAAGTATTTGAGAGCTTGATTCTCACCTTAATAGCACTCTCTCTGTGTGAGGATTCAAAGTACCTGGCTTCTTATGTTGTTCGGAAGACAAAACTTCTATTATGAAGCATTATGCAGACACCCACATGATCCTACATCAGACTGAGAGTCTATAAATCTATTGTGCACAATTCTGCTGCCTCAACTACAGCAGGACTAGGCAGCAGTAGTTGTTGCCAATTTTTTGGTGAACTAACACTAGATGAAGACAAAACCTTTCCTAGAAGGTCCAGCCCCTCTGGCCTTATCCATAATACTGTTCTAAACACAATCTCTGGCCCTAACACATTGCTCCAAGATACAGTCCCATTGGAGAACTGATAAAAAGACACTGGAAGTGCCAACAGCATGCTTCAATGCTTCAAAGGGCATGCCTGTTTCTTCAGTCTCTACAGCTGCAAAACTAAGTGCTAAAGTCAGCATCTTAGGATTCATTTGTCACCCCTACATACCCCAGAACTAATGAATTAAGTCATTTGCCTTTATTGATACCAGTTATCTTCTCATACTGACAGAAAAAGAGAGGTGTAGCTAGATACCCCCAGAGGCGCCAAGCTAAACTCATAGCCCTGTCTACATAGCGAGGATCTGAGTCCCCTGCTTGCCCTAGAATTAGTCAGGATACAGCCACAGGTTTTATAATCCTTGTCTTGAATCCTAACTCTAATTCCAACCCTAAAAAAAAGTAGTTCATCTTAGGGAAAGTAGCTCTCTTGCTGTGGAGAGGGTGATGCAGATACAACCAAGCCACAACAGGTCCTGTAACAGAAGCAAATGCACTGCAGTGAGCTCTGAGAAACTGGGGTTCTCAGGATTATGCTTGGAACAGGGCTGGGGCTGCAAGGTCCAAAGAAAATAGGAGAAGGCTTGTACCAGCCAGAGATGCAGTCTGAACAAACAGGTAGAGTTTGATACTCGGTGGCTGGAGTTACAGTTCAGATCCTCACCTGCATGTGACAACCAACCAGATTTACTGCCACATTCACCCATTTGTGCAGGAGCAGGAAGATGCTGGTTTAGCAGCAGGGTGGTTTGCAGCAGGGCAGGCTGCAGCCACCAGCCTGTGCTGCCAGTGAGGGTTTGAGCTGGTGTCAGGGTGCCATTGTGGGCTCTTATACTCTTGTGTGTGAGACCCTTTACCTTGTTCCGTGACTGAGGTACAGCAGGTCAGAGGCGCTACAGAGATAACTGCAACAGTCCTCACCTGCTCCTTCCCCTCATTAGTCCTGGAGACACAGAAGGATCTGACAGTAATGTAATTTGACTGCCCTAGATGTGGCAGTATCCAGGAAAACCCATTTGTTTGACAGAGCCTGAATTACATTGCAGAGGCTTGTTCATGGTGCTCTGGTGCCCTCTTAGCACATGCATGAGCACAGGGACCAGTTCTTTGGGGCACTCCTGTTCCCGGACGCCCAGTTATCATTGGTAGGCATGGCCAGAGAGCTCACAATTTCACTGGCAAAACGGAGCCTGCTCCCCAGATGAGGACACCTGCTGTAACTGAGCATACGGTCAGTTGGGTTTTGGTCTTTACTGGTACTGAGCTGGTTTGATGTTGTTCTGAGTTTACACCAACTGAGAGCTTGATTGTATGGCCTTTTAAGTCTGTGGTTTGTTTTGGTTTGTTGGGGTTTTTTTGCTTAGAAAAATCAAATACATTAGTAAAGTATGTGAACAATCACCCACCTCAGTGCAGTCCACTAGCTTGTGAGTTCTGAAAGGGAAATTCCCCAGAAAGTGACCGTAAATGACATTGGAACTGACCATCCTATTTATCAGATTTGCCTGTCCAGAGAGAAATACAGGGAACATGCTAGAAGCAAAACTGTGAAAAATCAATGCACCATTGTTTGTTATTTTTAAAAACCTGAGAGTTAACTTGTGAGATAAACAAGGGAGTGTTACTAAATTACATAAATGAGCTTGAAATTTTATTGCTGAACAGGTACTGAGCTCATATGTTTACTGCACTTATGTACAGTGGTGCTCATTTGCAATTCAGTTGTAGTGATGAAGTACAAAATTAATATACTGCATTGAAATACTCCTCAAATAGGTTTTCTGAAATATGTCTGGGGTTGTACTAATGAAATCCAACAGGTTTTATGACAGGTTTTGTGGCAGGTGTCCCCCACATTACTCCTACTCAAATAGAGAAAGAGAAGGCAAGCATGTACCTTCCTTGGTCAGGCAGAGCTGCTCCTCCTGCTGATGGACATTCTCTTTGGGTTTGAGATGGCTTGTAGCAAAGGGAGGCTGCAAGTCAGTGGGCTGGGTTAGAGGTTAACTCCCACATCCTTCTTGGGAGATAGTGGTATAATATGGGAACATTGCTATCATTCTTACAGTCTCCTTATCATGGTATTGCCTTACATGGTATCGTTATTGTCTGATACTGGATCAGTATTAGCAAGCTGCTTAAAGCTTTATATAACAACAGGATGTAAAGGCAGAAATATTAATGAAGAAAACTGGAACAGCGTGGATCATTAGCGGTGGCGCTAGAGAGCAGAAGGTGGCTCTCCAGGGTTCAGGTGTGGCAGAGAAAGCTCCTGAATTCTCATTAGGCATGTGTGAGAGAAAGGAAAGCAATTGCTGAGTTCTTTGACATGCAGGCAAAATTTAAATTACACCCAAGAGCAAAGTTGGGGTTTGTGTCTCCTAAGTTGGCAAGTTGGAAGCATGTGCTTTCTTCTGTATCATCCAGGGTCCTTTTAGAGCTCAAGGAGGGAAGCTGAAGAGGAGTCAGTGAATCATCCAGGAAGGATTTTTTTCAGCTTTAAGTATAAACAAAACTAAAAGCACCTAAATTATCCTGTAAAGCACCTATCCCTATCTACCACCTATAAGCCTGGAGAGACTGATTCAAATTACAGATTCTGCATGGTAGATGTCTACAGTTAAGTGAGATGCATCCCACCCAAACCCTGGGAAGCTGTAAGGAGCTTTTGGAGAGCACAGCATGTAGCACATTTGCAGTTAAGGACTTTCCTCCCAGTAATTATGCAGAGATTTGGGAACTGTTGCAGCAGTCTTTTGGGAGTGTCAGTAGGATCTTCATTAACACTGACAGGAGTCCTGGAGACCCGTGGTGTCTTCAAGGCAGATCTGAGAAACTGCTGGAAAATCTAAAAATTCCTGGTAGTGCTAGAAAAGGTTCCATGAAGCATGTGCTTAAGAATGCCTTGACATTAATGTAACTCACTGCTATGGCAAGGGGACCAAATTCTGCTCTTGTACTCAATGGTGGAAGTCCCAGATCACAGGTAGGTTGACTGTGGTGGGGTATTTCCATATCTTCCTGGCTGAGAAAAATTGGTCCCAGTGAGGATCTCGAGTGAGGCACTGCCAGAGATAGCAGCAGACTGGACTCGCTGACCTCCCGGGTGTCCTTCCAGCTGTGTTTCTGTGTTCTAATAAACTTGCAGGATCATGTCCACCAAGTCTCCTGGGCTCAGTTGAGCCCTTTAACTTACTTATTTACTGGCCGTCCATCATTTGAGAGCAGGGAAACCAGTTGGTTGGGTATTTTTCTGTCTGTTTTCATTTTAACTCTTTTTCTTGCGCTCTTTTCTTTCTCCCCTCCGTTACTATCTTTCATCTACAATTAGTTTTGATTCTGTTGGTTTTTGAAGTAACCAAAATAGAGCAGAGAAAATACCAAGCTTCAATTAAAAAAAAAAAAAGAAAAGAAAAGAAAAAAGGCCAACAAGGAATTGTTGTACATTTTTATGACCTGGAAATCTCCTGAGACATCTCAAGATTGCTGAGATGTTCATCTATCTGGTGGATTGATTGGGTGTTTTTTTCCTGCCAGCTTCAAAGAGTGTCAGCTGGAAAGAGAAACAACTAAGTGGGAATATGGGACATGGGAATTTTACCCAAAGGGGAGGCAGATTGCACACCTGTTTATAGACCTAAATAGAGAACACATGACACTGCATAGGAATGCATGGCAAAGCTTGCAGTGCACGAATGGAGGAGTTTTATGGGTTATTGTGAACATATGTTGAAAATAGAGTTATCCAGAAAAGGACTTTACCTGCAGAAAAGGTTTCTTTCTTACATGATCCCTGATGGCTGCAACTTGTTGCCAATTTTTTTACATTTCTTTTGGCCTTTATTAGGAAAGGAAAAGTTATGGCCTTGAGGAGAGCACATACCTTAAGCAAAACCCACCCAGGCCCTTTTCTTAATAAAAAACCATTTACAGAGGAAGTTTCCAACCACTTCCAAAGCCTCCAAAAGGGCAGGCAGAGCACTGAGCATTCGGGCTGGTCGCACGGGGTGCTGTGCGACTGTCACGGTGTGTGCGGGGGTCATCTTGGGGGGGTCACGCCGGGGATGCATCGCCCCGCCGGAGCAGGGCGGCAGGGCTCCTCCCCGCCTGGCCAGCAGGCGGCGCCGCTGCTCCGCGGCGGAGCGGGCGCGGGCGGGCCGAGCCCGGCTGGCGCTGCCAGGGGTGAGGGGCCCGCGTCAGCCCGAGCCGGCCGCCGCCCGTGGGCGAATGGGCATCTCCCGAGCCAGAGAACTGAAAGGCAGCAGGAAGAGGGGCTTAAGATTTGGAGGTGGGGTGTAGGGCCAGCCGGGGGGCAGCTTGCGCGCCCTCGCACCGTAGTCACCTGGGCAATGCCGCGCTAGGGAAGGACTGTGTCCTGAGCGCGCAGTCTCGCTGTAGGCATCTGTCCCCAGTGTGCTCCTTGGAGAACAGAATTCAGCTCACTGTGCCAAGGATCTGGCCGTTCAGCAACACCCAGATGTAACTATTTCCCGTCAGAACCGCGTGTTGATTTATACCTATTACTTTCATTCATTTCCCCTCCCAGCTGTGATGTTAAAATTGTATTTATTCTCTCTGTGAAAGGTAGTGGGAGCAAGATTGTGAATGGTTGGAGATGTGAGACGGGAGGTGCACCAGATACTTGCATGGAGCTGCTGAGGCAAGGAAGCAACTGTGTTTTCGTTCTAAACTCAGTCACTTGGGGATTTCACTGACAAGCCAGGAGTATCGTGTCCTCCTTAACGATGGGGATATGACACTGTCCTTGTGTTGACAGTTGTTCCTCAGTCTCTTCATCAGGTGTTGAAATGAAATGTTCTTTTACAACCTACCTCAGAAGCAGCTTCCTGTCCTTCCCCAGCAGCCTTTTCACGAGGGGGCTTCTGCAGTGCCTTATGGGGAGGCAGAGCAGGCACACTGAGGCCCAGGAGCCCTCTTTGCCTTGAAAGGCTGCATAGGATAAAGTGTCATTATGGGATATCTCCTGCAAGTGACAGCAGCTTAATTAAAAGCTGGATGAGACTGGAATGGTTTATTCCGCTGACAACAGTTTAGAACACCATATTATCAACCTTCTCCGGAGCTTACATGCTGTTTGATAAAGGGCAAAGAACCTGTGATCAATGCTGCTGTTCTCTCTGTGCAGACAGTCCCTATGCCAGTCCTGCTCCCCTTATAGGGCACCTACAGAGAGGACACAGGAGGACATCTCCCTCCTCCCCTGCCCTGTGCCAGAAGAATCCACTGGAGATCTGCCTCCCAGAGAAAGGGAGGAGGCAATGTAGGATCTTCTCCTGACACCTTGTGAACGTGGGGCTGGGCTTGTGCTTCAGAAATGGTGGATCTGACTCAGGGAATATAATTGAGCACAAATTCCAGCACAGCCATCGTGTATCTGTTCCTTTCCTGGGAAGAAATACCTGCTTCTCTCATGTAAAAGCTGTACAAATCTGATAGCAAAGCCCTGCTTATGCACTGGCTTCAGGATGATTTCTTGTGGCAAAGAATTTGCCTTGGAGTTGAGGCTGCGGGGCTGAGTACTCCTCTTTGATGTTCCTCGGTTTTCGGATACCAGCTGTAGTGAACAGGTTTGAAATTTTTACCAAGGCAAAACTCCCCTTTGCCTTGAAGAGGACATCCAGCCTTGGGCATGAATTTGCAATTGCTTGCAGTAAAAAGAGCTTGTTCTTGTTAGTGTCAGGTTGGTCTGGTTGGTTGGTTTTCAGATTGAGCCAAATGGTTATTAAAATGGATGGTGCTCCTGTTCTGGCAAGCTGTCACTTCACAGCGCACCCTGTTCTCTCATGAGTGTGCTTTCCCAGCCCGCCTCCCCAGCTCCAGGGGCAGAAGATAAGCCAGCAGAAAATGTTCTCTCTAGCCAAGTGTTTGTCTGAAATGTCCCAGCTACTCTGGAATGATTAGCATCTTTTCTCTCTGTGCCTTTTCTGCATTCACATGTTCCCATGGCATCTGAAATTGGAAGATGAAATATTTTCCAAGTAAAGAAGCCACATATGGCATCAGATTGTTGCACTGAGTGCACCACCCTTTATTCTCTGTGTGCACCACCCTTTATTCTCTGTGTGCATGCGATAAGTGAGGGTGTCACTTATGGCTCAAATAACATGGCAGGACATCAGGTGCACCTAATGAACATGGAAGTCGAAAAGGGTTCACCATGCACACCCGTCTGACAACCCCAAATACTCTATTTCAGTTTATAAAACCAAATGTTAATGTGTGAGCGCCACTAGTATGTGACTTCACAAGTGCTGATATAGTGTCTGAGCATACCCCACTCCATTTTACTGACAGCCTACCACGGAGCAGGGTAAACCATATGAAGGAATACGATCAAGTGGCTTGGGTGAGTCAGGGCTGTGGCATTAGGCCTGGTAGGGGAGGAGCAGAGGACAGGCAAGGAGGATTGAGCCTGTCCTTGCATCCAGTGAGCATGTTTTTTTCCTCCCAGACTGACTGTTTTCCTCTGTTACAGGTAGGGGACCAAGCTAAATGGGTTAGGGGCCTCATTTGATTACAATAACCCCAGTGTTTCTGAGGTGGTTAGGAACTGGTAAAAGTAAGGAAACAAGGGTCAGAAACAGCACAGGAGTCACTGGGCTGCTGGCTCCTCCACCCACCCTCACTGCCAATGGGATTTTGGTTTGGGAGAGACTTTATCTTCCTCCTTCCGCCATGGAGGGACATTTGCTGCGTGCCAGCGTGTTGCCACCATTAAGTCATTAGGGGTGGGAAATCAGACTTTTCAGTTAAAGTTCAACTGGTTCATTTAGTAGTCTCCCATAGTGACAAAGGGGGGAGCAGAACTTTTTAAGTTGTGCAGCTCTTGCAGATGCCCTGAGCAAGCAGTGACCCAGACAAACCCTGTCCCCACTGCACAGTTCTGGCCTTCTTGTCATCCCTGGGCAATGGACTCCTTTGCCTTGGGGTAGGAAAGAGCTGGCTATTGCAGGTGGCTGCAAAGGTACCTTCTGTAACTATTTGGCCTATAGCCCTCAGCAGTCCCCACAGAGCACTATTGTACCCATTCAGCCGTGTTGCAGGACCTGGGCACCCAGGGAAGAGGCCTTGGGGCATATCTTCTTGCTAGAAAGTAGAGTTGACCAAAACAAATGGTTACTGGGAGGTAGGCATCTTCTGAATTGATAACCTGAAAGAGCATATTTCTGTCAGCAATAAATAATACCAGCACCACCACCAAAATACTTTTTTTTTTTTTCCCTAGGGTAAAAGACAATCAATGCATGTCTTGCAAAAATATTCTGTGTCCTTTGGTTTCACAGATTGAGATTTAAATTATGCCCTTGGCCATCAAAGATAGTATCTTCTCAATGTTTATGATGTTATTTTAGCCTGTAAGTGTGGTCCAGTCAAGAAAATATCCCCCTAGAACTGGAGCGTGGCCATGACAAGATTCATCTCTTCCCACAGCATCCATCTGAATGCTCTTCAGTCTACAAGTCAAAAAGACTGCACGATTCTGGAGGTTTCCTGTTTGCATATCCAATGTCACACCTCTGCAGGGTGGTTTGAATAAGAATGTATTACTTCTCTGTGTGTCACTGTCCTGATCTTAGCCAGAGTGTAAAGGTTTGGTGTAAAGTATATTACACCTTGCCCTGAAATCGTGCTAAGTGGAGAGTCATCTGTGAATTTAGCTAGATGTGGGGTTAGGCTCTATATCTGTGTCTGAGGACTCTGCCCAGGCATATCCATGAAGTCATATAGATTTCTCTCTTTTTCTGTTCTGTTTTAATTTTTGCCGAGTACAGGTTTTGGTTGGCTGTCCAGGATCTCAAGAAACAACCTCTGCAGGATGTAGCCACCAGAGTGGAAGAAATCTGGCAAGAATTTCTAGCTCCTGGGGCTCAAAGTGCTATCAACCTGGATTCCCACAGCTATGAGAAAACAAGCCAAAATGTCAAAGACCCAGGGAGATATACATATGAAGATGCACAGGTTTGGTTTTGATTTTATGGAACTACTGCTAATAAACCTTTCAGTTTTTCTGTGATATTCCACTATCACATTGTCACTGCTCACTTGTAAGAAAAAGGAGACGCACAGTTTGAAGTGACTTTGAGGATATCTGTTCAAGCTGGGTAAATGATATTTTCTTTGAATCTGTCCATTATAACAGGCTAATGCTCCTCTGGGAACAAATGTTCCAAAATTTACAAGTCTGCAAGGCGCAGCAAGCTGGAAGAAGGGCTCATTTGGCAAATATTACCGAGGACACAATTAAAAGTTACTGTCCTTGTAATCATTTTTATCAAAAGCATGTAGTAAAACCAACAGCAAATGAAAAAAAATCACTGTTCTTATATTGTCTTTAAATTGGTGTTCAAAGGCAGTTCTTCAAAATACTCCACTAACAAAATATTTCAGTGTCTGGGGAGATGTTGTGGACCACTTATACAAGGTTAAACAATGAATTTTTCAAGCCAGCATCAAATACTATATTTTCCTGAATGCATCTTGCTCTTTTGGGCCAGCATAGAAGGAATGTGTGCAAAGTTTCAAGGTAATCCCCTGTGAACATCAGGCAACTTAAATGTTCTTTTTAAAGCCGAGAAACACAGGAGTATGAAGACATTCTGGCTAAGATGTATTTTTTGCTTTGCAGTTACATGAACTTCCGCAAATTTGCATCATCTGAAAAAAAAAATGGTGGTGGCAAAACGCAGGTTGAAGCAGATAGGTGAATAGTGGGGGGATTGATTAAATTGATAAATCGAAGTACTGAGAATAAGATGGAGGCCTAGACAATGAGTATTTAATCAGAAGAAGACACAGGATTTAGGCTTGAACTGAGCAGTTCACAGTGTAATTGCCATTCAAAGGGGAGTTGATGAAATCAAGCTGGAGCTCTTGCAGTTAGACTGCAATTTTAGCTCGTTGGGTTAATTTTATTTTTAAGGTTTTTTATGCTGATGGATGTCCTCAGTTCAAGTATGAGGCAAAGGTATATCTTCAGGCCCAGCTATGGTCCTTTTGGAGACTGAATCTGTGCCAAGAGAAGATAAGAATGTGAAAGGTGAACCCAGTTACCTTCTTGTGCAGTGGACAGCTCTAGTTGCTCTCCAAAGGCCAAGCAAGCTGTCTCTGACTGCTTGACCAGATAGCTAAGAAGGCTGTCTAAGAAAACCAGGGAGAAACAGGATGCTGCTGAAGGGCATAGTGCCCTTGTGAAGCTGGAGCAACATTATCTTTTACTGGCTCATCCTGGAGAGGGGATGTTTTTGTTTCCACATCCACTTCGCAGAGCCAATGTAGGTCCCCCCAGTGCTCTCTGTGTCTCCCAGGTATTGTCCTGATGTCTCCCCCAGGTCAGTCCTGCCACACTGGGGGCTCTGTTGTCCATGAATCTGCAGCAGGTCACAGCCCAGCTGCCTTATCTTGGCACCCTGGCATCAGGAGCCCATGAGAGCTCCCACACATCCCACATTCCTAGGAACTCAACCAGACATAACCAGTCAAAACACCGCACTGTGGGAAGGAAAATGTAAGTGCTGTCCTGACCTGTGTATCTTTAGCACAAAGAGGAAAACAACTGTAACATCCTTGTGAATAAAGAACAAGAAAAAAAATAGTTTACTGAACAGCACATTCTTTGAATGCCTGCAGCTCCGATACACTAAGAGGAAGAAAAGGGTTGGCTGAACTAAGAAAATGAAATTGCTGCTCCTGCATTGGAAAAATTGGAGAAGGTGAAGCTGACCTGTGAGACCTGCAAAATACCAGTTCTGTATAAAAAGTGCTGGAAATGAACACACTGCTGTGCTTGGGAAGGGGAAAGTGTAGCAGAACACAGTCTACAAAGCATTGTCTGTTATCAGGTGCTTAACAGTCTACATCAATGTGCTGCTTTGTACAACCTTGGCTCCTAGCCCCAAGGAGCTCTTCCAGATGATGGATGACCATCTGGTATGGCAACTGGCCTGGAATAAAACAAGGAGAGAAGGGAGCTTCCAATAAACCATGCCTCTCGCTTAAGATCTCTTCATCCCAAGGCCACTCTGGAGGGAAATGGATTCCTGTATTACAGAAGCAAATGTTTTGCCATTTCCCCATCTCAGTTTAAGATACTTAGCCACCATTGCTGCTGCCACTGCACCCTGGAGTCCTGCACCACTCTACTTGCAGAGAGCCTCCTTCTCTTGCTGCATCTCCTGCACATGCCCTTGCCCACCCCATGTCCCACTCAAGCCGTGCCACCTCATCTCAGCTCCAAGCAGAGCGTGCTGTTCTGGGTTCACCTGTGCTGGCCTTCCCCAGCCAGCTGGTTTGCTGGTGTCCCCCATCCTTAAGCAGCACAGCCCCTGCTCCTAGCTCTGTCTTGATTGACAGCTGTGCCAGCTATCTTGATCTGCATCACCTTTCATCATTTTAGTGCTGGACCCCTCCAGAGGCAAGCCTACCAGTTTAGCTGATTATTTTCTTCTCTTAAACAACTGTTCACTGAGTAAAATATTATGATTATCAAACCATTTTCACTGGGGAGTAAAGCAGCTTTTAATACAAGGGCCACCATCGGGAAAGGTCAGTTCAATTAAACAGTGTACTACTTAGCAGGATGTAAGCTCCCACAGGAGTTATCAGCATCATTGAACAACCAATGCGGGGCCCTGCAATATGAAACAGGCAGAGCCAGCTCTGGAAAGTAAATAGGTTTGGGTCCATATGAATGTCCTCTTTTGGCTAACGAAGCTGCTGACAGCCAAAGGAATTCATCTTTCACATGGGATCCCAGAGCTGTGAGTGTGACAATTACAGCTCATCTGTACAGCACGTTATTAGTTTTTAAACATTTCCCCCTCTCGTACCTTCCAGCATCTCCTTGCCTTCCCTGAAGTGTCTTTCTGCCTTCAGAAAGTTTTTAATTCTTTCCTCAGTGCCTTGGCATTGGGCGCTAGTATCACAAGAATGCGTTGTGTCTCCTGTAATGTTTGCTTATAGGGACTTTTACTGGTAGGCTTCAGAGCCAGGTATACTAGAGTAAGGTAAACCACATAGCTGTCTTTGGAATTACTTTCCTGTTTCCTTTATTGTTTTTTTCTTTAATAGATAAAAACAGAGTTTTAGATTCACATTCCCTTACCTGAAGGAATTCCTTTACCTTACCAGGTCTTCTTTCTGTGACAATGATTAGGGAAATTCAATTCTAATTCGGGCTCAGTTAGGGATTTTAACTGTACTGTGCAGATCCTTGGCTTAACACCAGATCAGATTTAGACCATAATGCCAAACTCTGCTCAAACCAGAAATGTACCTGGCCCATATCTGAGTCATAGAATACTTTGGGTTGGGAGATTCAAATGTCATCTAGTCCAGCCCTCCTGCTATGAGCAGGGATATCTTCAGCTGGATGAAGTTGCTCAAAGTCTTGTCCACCCTGGCCTTGAATATCTCCAGGGCTGAGGCATCTACCACCTGTCTGGGAAACCTGTTCCAGTGTTTCACCACTCTCAACATAAAAAATTTCTTCCTTAACTATAGTCTGAGATTTAAGATTTGAGTCCAGTGCATGCTTTCAGCTGCCCCAGGTGTTGGTTCAGTTTGTTCTGGACTGTGACTATACTATTTGTAAGTGATCAGTCCTCAGTTCACAGTCTGCTCCCAGTGCTGGGAGCACTGACAGAGCTTGACAGGATCCTCTTGAATTAAAAAAGAAACTCCAAGTTAAGCAAGGCTCTCTTGGAAGTAGGATTTCATATTCTAGCAAGAAGAGAAAACAAAGGGTGACTTTCTTCCACTGACTTTGTCTTTTCAAGAGTGCACAGGATGTGACAGCAAGCATATAAAGGAGTGTGTGCCTGGTGCCTATTCAGTGGGCAAAAGAACTCCTTTTGTCTAGAGCAAAATCACAGCATGGAAGGAAAGCATGAAAATAATCACCCATTGAGCATCTGTATCATTTTTCATATAAGAACTTGAAGAAATATTATTCCTATTTTCTTAAAATCTCACCCAATCACCCCAGTTGCTGGAGGTCTGTAAAGGATGGTGGCTAAGGATGGTGGCTAAGGATGGAGAATCGAGGTAACAGCAAAGCAGCTCAGGCTGGAAATGCAGGCAGTAAGGGGACATGGGGCAAACCCAGGTGCTCTGCCTTGAAGGGAGGCTCAAGTCCACCTGAGCCAGCACTGCTCACTCCTCAGAAACCTGGCACTTGTACTACAGGGAATTAAAAGCACTGCAGTGCTGCATCCATAATGTACAGATGGATGATATCCAGGCCTGGGTATCCTGGAGGCTTTTGACAGTCTGGACCTTTTTGCGAAGGTCAGGAACTGCATGAGTGCTTCATCTTTATTCTCTTCTCCTTTGGCTTTTATTCTGTGGGACTGAAGGAGAAAATCCTTCCTTACACTGCACTCCAGTTGTCTTCTCTGTATCTGGGTTACAGTGACTGTAGAAACAGCCTTCATGTGAAGCCTCCCTCTTTCTGTGTCTTTGTTACACACACAAAAAAAATGCAAGCCCCTTCCCTTGTGGATTTCACAAAACAACCTGCAACCAAACAGAATCTAAAAACAAGAGCCCCAAATATACACCCAGAAGAGCAATTGGATGACTGCAACAAAAATAGGGAAGTGATGGTGGAGGCTTGTGCTGGTGTACCTGGTGCTGTGCAAAGCAGGAAACAAAAGACTTGAAGCAGAGCTTTATGTAAGAGCAGATACTCAGTGTTATTATTTTCTTGGGGTTTTCAAAATGTACATACGCACCACACATCAGAAAGTTCTCCTTTTATCTTTTGCCTTTCATTTTTAATTTGTGGTTTAGTAATCATGCTATATGAAAAAAAACTAACATTCGGCCTTTGTCTTGCTGTTGCCTTTCTGTCTCTGAAGGCATCAGGGATCAAACTGTTTTCTAAGCTAATGCCCCTCTGTTACACATGGGTGGAAAAGGGCTAGGAAAAAGTCAGGAGCGAGCTCTGTCCTTGCACACAT